TTCTCTCTCATTTTTAGAAGTTTGTTGGTGCTGTTAGAGGCAAAATAGAGAGCTCGTTGCTTTAAAACAAGGTAGAGTTGTCTAACTTGCATAGTCCCTAAATTTTGTAGTTGGATTCATGTTTTTCCCCAATTTTTACATGCCAATTTGGTAGTAGCATGCTAGGGTTCCATTAAATTGATGATGTATGATAAATTGTTTGTTGTTGTGTGTTAAATGATAATTATGTGATGTGAAATTCCAATTGTTAAATGACTATGTGACTAATTGTGAGGAAGCATGTTACTTCTTGTTAAATTGACATTTCTAGTATTCTTAAAAATGCCAAGTATGAAATGTGTAGTAGAAATTGCCAATGTGAAGGTTAAATTGTAAAGGTTATGCTATTTTGCTTAGATGATCATAAGTTTGCTTATAAAAATAATTGTATCATTGTCAATTCTGTGCATGCTCATAATTTGATGATTTTGTAACAATTCATGTGGAGGTAAAATTACGACTATAAGTCGACAATGATGACTGTTAAAGTTTATAGACCATTGTGAACATAGCATTAGCATTATTGCATTGTCATTAAGCATTGGGTGTGTTATGAGGGAAATTTTGGTGATGTGAATTGAAAAAGTTTTGAAGAAGTTTTGAGAAAAGTTTTTTTTTAAAAAACCCGATAGTTAGAGGGGTACTCCTTTGCCAGCGGTGTTATTATGGAAGGTTTTACTTAAACCCAGTAGTTGGAGGGGTACTCCTTTACCGGCAGTACTAACTAGTTAATAGGGACACAGGAATTACCCGTGAGTAATTTAGCAACCTCAGACCCCAAATGGTAGTTGGGAGTTACCCTTTGCCAAGGACGACTAACAAATTCTCCCTATGGACAATGGGGGTACCAAAGTCCATCTAGTTACTACGTTTTCGGTGTGTGAATTGGGTGTGTGAGAGTGTTTGTGTGGAATGCATTGCATAAGCTATTTCATGCATTGCATTATTTCAAATGGTTGATAGTGGATTGCTTATAAATATTTGATGATGTGTAATCCCAGCATGCTCCCTATTCTCCTACTCTATTCATTGACGTTTCTAAGCATGCATTTCGTCTACTTAATTTTAAGAGATACCATTTAGGCAATCTATAATGGGCATTGTGTTTATTCCTCTACATTTTTTAGGACACGGAAAGGAAATGGCATATGACAATTCACCACAAGCTTAGTCGGGTTGAAAGAGATTTGGACCTCTTTTGTGTTTGATGTGTGTATTACCCCCCTTTTTTTGTAAATTGTATTAAGTGGCAGTGTGTATCTATTCAATGGGTAGAAATAGTTTTGGATACCTCAGCACCATTTTTTGGCGTCTCATTAGGATTTCTATCTTCTTTTGGGTTTATAGCTTTTCAACAATGTAATTTAAAGTCATTTTGTTTATGAACGTTGTAACCGGACAAATATGATGAATGTACGTTGAAATCAAAGTTTCTTTATGTCGCCGTGTTGTAGAATTCCTTTAATTAGTTTGTCAAGTTGTTATTTTACCATTCATGCATGTTGTTGGGGTTGAGAGGATTGAATTTACAGCTTAGAAATGCATTTGGGGTAGCAGATTTTAGACCTTCCAGGTTAGGAGCCGACTCTTCCCTATTGGGAGTCAGCTTTTTTTAGTCCAGTAGCCTCATTTCGTTAAAAAAAATTGGAGTGGAGCCTATTCCTTTGGAATGAAAATTGGAGTGGAGCTTATTCCTTTGGAATGGAGCGTGCTCCTTTGGGGTGGAGCGTGCTCCTTTGGAGTGAGTGGAGCCTTCTCATTTGGAATGGAGCGTACTCCTTTGGAGTGAGTGGAGCCTGCTCCTTTGGAGTGGAGCCAGGTCCTTTCGCAGGAAAGAGGCGGCTCCATCCAAATGGGAGCCGGCTTCCTTACTGCTTGTCTCTTCTTTTTAATTCAGACTTTGAATTATTGTAACTTTCTTATTTCAAATCCAAATGGGTTCGTTCTTGAGTCAAATTTTAATTATTTTCAGTCAACTTTCCAATGAATTTAGTTTCATTCAAAAATTCAAATCGTAAAGAGAGTTATAACCCTTTTTAGTGTGGACTGCTCCAGAATTCCTTGAAAATGAAGGGCGCAATTGTGTGAAATTCTCATTCTTATCTCCGGGACCTTGTGTCATGGGTTCAAATGACCCTTATGACTTATGTTGGCTTATTTGGACTCATTTAGAGTTAAATAATTAATTTACACACCTTAGTTGACCGTTTTGCCCTCAGTTATTTTTGGGTTCGGGTAAGGACCTGGTTAGTGATTCGGACCCACGGGTTCGGGTCATTACAATTTTCATATAAAGTTATTCCATTTCGTCGATAACAACCACCAACCTTCACACGCAATAATAATCAATGAGAGAACCATTGAGTGGTTAATATATTTTTGTGATGATCAATTTCACTTCAAATTTTTTTCAGGAGAGTCCAAACAATTGATTTAGAATTCCAAAACAATTCAAAATGAATTCCACAACTAAAAACCAAATAGGAGATTCACACGTCTTTTATCAAAACATCTAGATTAGATCAGAATTTCAGTTCAATTGTTAATTTATAATTTCACTTGGCTATGCTCTATTTTATAAATTATTTTAATTAGCTTAGTTGAATCTATTGAACGATTAAGCAGCATTAATTGAACAGTTATATTTATATATTTTTTTCAAGCAAGGCAGATAAATTCTTTAAATACTAAAGATATCATTGGATACAATAATTCTGAGATAGCCCCTTGAAGCTACCAAAAATGAATTGGGCCGGGTGTGACCCACCCCACTGAAAACCGGATCTGGAAAGAGTTATTGGCCCAGTCGGATGACAGCCCATCAGGCCCAATCTTCATTAAGATGATCCCCCAAGCCCAATCTTAAGGGGAAGGAAGTGAATCCATATCCGAAGAAAAAGCCCAAGGGATCGGCCCAACATGGAGGATGAAAAAACAAGTTTCTAGAATACTTGAAAAATTCTATAAATAGAGTGAAAAGTGAGGGAAAATGGGTTGGAAAACATTTTGAAGTGTAGAAATATCTTTTCTGAAATAGAGAGAATATTTTCAGTTACTTCAATTGGCGCCGTCTGTGGGAACAAATGAGAGATTTGATCAATTTTCACATACGATTAGGTGTGACTTGATCAATTTTGAGGAGATTGAGATCTGATCTGTGAAGATTGAGATCTAATCGGAGGAGATTCAGGTCCGATCGAAGGAGATTGAGATCTGATCTGTGAAGATCGAGATCTGATTAGAGGAGATTCAGGTCTGATCGAAGGAGATTCAGATATAATCTGTGAAGATTGAGATCTAATCAGAGGAGACTTGGATCTACTCAACGGAGGTTGGAATTTGATCATAAGAAGGCCAGATCTGATAGATTCACAGTAAGGAAGCTCAGATCCAGTCGATTCTCAATAGTTGTTGACTCTACTCCGATCAGGAACAATGATTAGAAGTGAAAGTTCTCATCCGCAAGAGAGTGAGCAGTATGCAAAACTTAATGAGTTAATGAGCCTAATTGAGACCTTAAGACGAGAAAATGCAGAATTGAGAGCCGGACTACAATGACGAGATGTTCCGCCGATTCCACGGCCACCGCCGCTAGCAGGTGATAAAACACTGCAGTCAAATGTCATTCGCTAGGTGGAATGAAAAGGATCTATTCACTTAGATCCATATCATGAGGAATTCAAGGTAGAGATTTTGCCGCCAAATGTCCATCATTAGGAAGATTGAGAAGGATCCGTTCACCTGGATCCGCATCGTGAAAGGTTCAGGCGAGAGAAGGATATGGAGTTCGATCACAATGGGACCATACCGTTGTGGCAAAAGGAATCAACTCCACTCGATACAATGTACCAGTCACCAATGATCATGTACGACCAAAGAAATTTAAGCAAAAGGCATATCGAACAAAAGGTACCTCTAAAGGATAACGAGGCCATCCGCACGTCGGCTCGTACTATTGACTCACCGTTCACAGATGAGATCTTGAACGCTTCGAATCCAAGAAAATTTTTCGTGCCAGTCTTTACTTTGTTCAATGGAACAAATGATCCAGTTGAGCACGTCTATCACATCTAACTAAAGATGGCCTTAAACACAAGGGATGACGCTCAGATGTGCAAGGTCTTCCCTACGAGCCTTACTGGACCTGTGCTTAACTAGTTCAAACATCTGCCATGACTTTGGCAACAAGCGGCCAGCCAGAGATATATCGTGCTTATTCATCATGAAATAGCAAGAAGGCGAAAGCCTTCAAGCCTTTCTCACTCAGTTTAACCTAGAAATAGCATAGTGATCGAATATCAACCTTCCACAGTAGTACAGGCGTTCAAACTCGCTATGATCCGAAGGACCCTGTTCTACGCGAACTTGGTGCTGAACACGCCAAAAACCATGGATGAGTTAAATAAAAGGTCTGAGGGAGGAAGAAGCGGCCAACACAAGGAAAGCAATAATGGTCGTAGTGGGAGGAAAGATTAAGGCAAAAATCAATCAGAGACAAGTTGCACCACTATAATCGATCCCCTGGAGAGCAGAGAAAAAACCTTGGGAGGAAGAGTCCGTTATTCTACTCAAGGTCAGTCTAGCACAACTGTACTAGGAGAATAAACCTATGTTCTGTCTGCCTCAGCCGATTAAACAACCGCTTGAATAAAGGGATTAGTCTAAGCATTGTGTATTCTACAGCGATTTTGGACACCTGACCAATGAATTTAGAAACTTGAGAAGGCAGGTTGAGATGCTGATACCAAAGGGGGAGTTCGCTAACTATGTTTAAGGTCCGGTAATAGAGCAAAATCGCCCTGTCAAGCAAGTAAAAAGAAATCAAAAGTTGAACAATCATGACGCCAAACCGGTTTGCATTATAAATACAATACATAGCCGAGCTAAGGCAGTAGAGGAATCAGAAGAACTCTGAACGTGCATCAGTCAGGCTCACATGAAGAGAATGGTAGGCAGTGTTAATGCGATTCACCAGGAAAATAGTTCAGTTCAAAAAAGATTTGACAGAGCTGACCTCTTATGAATTCAAATGCTTGCTGGTCACCGACTGTTTGGTTCGAAGAATCCTGGTTGACCTAGGGAGCAGCACAAACGTTATGATAAAGGTGGCTTTTGAACGGCTAGAGATAGACTCAAAGAAGCTCAGGCCCATAGGGAATCCATTGTTAGGGTTTGATAGAAAACGAACGGAGCCTATTGGAGTGGTCGAGTTGCCTGTGTTCGCTGAAAAAAGGGAGTTGATAAAAAGCTTTGTTGTCGTGGACATCCACCTATCTTATAACCTCTTAATGGGAAGAGGGTGGATCCACTGGGTCCAAAGAGTCCCCTTGACCTTGCATCAAGTAATAAGGTGCTTGAGTTTGGATGGGAGTGAACTGATTAATATTCATGGCGATCAAGTAGCAGCGAAGGAATGTTATTCTGTAACTCTCAAGGCCGACGAGAAGGGTAAGGCGCTCTTCTGACTTGCAAACCCAAGATAGCAATTACAGGAACCTCCACCCAAAGAGGTTGGGGAAGAGGTAGAGCCTTTGGTCCTTACGGAAGAACCCCTTAAGGATGTGCAGATCGATCCTCTAAGACCAGACCGAATGACAAAAGTAGGATTTAAGCTTACAATGGAGGATAAGCGACTGCTGGTCGAGTTTTTATCTAAGAATGCGGACGTGTTTGCTAAAAATCACTTGGACATGCTAGGAGTTAGTCCTTCTTTGTCTTGTCATTCCCTTAACATAGATCCAAACGTCAAACCTATAAGGCAAAAACAAATGAGGTTTGCTCTAGAGCACAATCAAATCATAGCCAATGAGGTTGATAGATTACTGGAGGCAAGATTCATCAAGGAGGTTCAGTACCCATCTTGGCTTTCAAAAGTGGTGGTTATCCAAAAGAAGAATGAGAAATGGAGAGTTTGTATTGATTTCACTGATCTGAACAAAGCTTGTCCGAAGGACAATTTCCCTTTGCTGAAGATTGATCAAATGGTGGATGTAACTACCAGGTACAAACTGTTGACTTTTCTAAATGCTTACTCAAGTTACCACCAGATCCCTATGGATCCGAACGACAAAGAAAAAACATCCTTTGTGACCGAACGAGGGACCTATTGTTATAAAGTCATGTCGTTCAAACTGAAAAACACTGGAGCTACTTACCAAAGGTTAGTAAGCAAGATTTTTAAAAGCCAAATAGGTAGAATTGTAGAAGCTTATATTGATGACATGGTAGTAAAAAGTAAAAGAAAGATCAGCATTTGCTGCACTTACAAAACATGTTTGAGGTGCTGCAAAAGCACGGCATCAGAATTAATCCATCCAAATACTCGTTTGGCATGGGATCCGGACAGTTCTTGGGTCACATAGTCAATAACAGAGGGATTGAAGTTAGCCCAACTCAAACCGAGGCCCTGCTAAGGAACAAACAGCCAAAAACTGTTAAGGAAGTTTAAACTCTCACCAAACAGATAGCAGCGCTAAGTCAATTCATCTCGAGAATGTTACATCGTTGTAAACCATTTTTTGATACAATTAGAGGCCATGGAAGACAGGCCTAGGGGATGTGCAATGACAAGCATTAACCAGGTTAAAAGAATATTTGCAGAATTCGCCAATCCTATCTGCCTTAAAGTCAAACGAGAAGCTTTTTATGTATCTTGGGGTATCAAACATAACAATAAGTGCTGTCTTGGTTCGAAATGAAGAAGAGAAATAATTTCCTATGTTTTACGTTAGCAAAACGATAACTGATCCAGAGAGGAGTTACTGAAAGTCCGAACTGGTGATCTTATCATTGGTGAATGCTAAGATGAAGCTTAGGCATTATTTTGAATCTCATCCCATCGTTGTTCTTACCACCTTTCCTATAAGGGTTATCCTATACAAACCAGACCTGTCAGGAAGAATGACAAAGTGGGCAATTGAGTTGAGCTCATTTGATATAATGAATGAACCCCGAACGGCCATAAAGGGCCAGGCAGTGGCTGACTTCCTGTTGGAATGTGACACAGAAGATGTGGAGGATGTCCTCGAGAATCAATCATGGAAACTCTTCGTTGATGGGTCATCTAACCAGGTGGGGGCAGGTGTGGGAATTAAACTGCAGACCCCTGAGGTTATAATATTGTGTCAAGCAATCAGACTTGAGTTCAAAGCAATGAATAACGAGGCAGACTTAGTCATTGTTAGCAGGGCTAAAACTAGCTAAAGAATTGAAGGTCAAGAATTGAAATGCTTTTAGTGATTCACAGTTGGTTGTTAGGAAAGTGACTGGAGAGTACAACACCAAAGATATAATAATGGAGGCCTGTCATTCTGCTATTATGCAGGAAGCAAAAGGTTTTGATCAAATCAAGTTGACCCAGTTGCCTAGAGAAGACAATGAGGATGCCGATCGACTGGCTTGCAGTGCATCAAGCTCTGGAGAATTATTGGCAAGGGTGATCCCTGTCGATGTGCTTCACCAACCTTCCATTTTTGAGGAGCCGCTTGGTTCAGGCCATTTTCAAGTAAACGTCATACCTTATGAGCTAAGTTGGATTCATCATATCATGACTTTCATCATAAGGGATGGTGAGTTGCTCGAGCAGAAGAATGAGGTAAGGAAAATCAGGTTAAATGCTGCGAAGTACACCATCTTCCATAACCAGTTATACAAAAGGTCCTTCTCAGGCCTCTATTTAAAGTGTGTCATCCCCTCAGAGGCAAGACAGATCCTACGAGCCATTTATGTGGGAGTGTGTGGTAACCACTCGGGAGGAAGATCCCTAGCGCATAAGGTAATGCCACAATGGTATTTTTGGCCTAATATGTCGTGGGATGCTAAAGAATTCTCTAGTAAATGTGATAAATGCCAAATGTATGGACCACTGATTCACCAACCACCTGAAAACTTGCATGTAATAGCTAAACCATGGCCTTTTGCACAATGGGGAATGGATGTGGTTGGCCCTCTACCAAAGGCGAGATCATAAAATAAATACGTTCTGCTTGCAACAGATTATTTCACCAAGTGGGTGGAAGCAGAGCTGTACCCGAGTGTGACTTAAATCAAGTAAGACGCTTCATATGAAGCAACATCATTTGTCGCTTTGGTGTGCCAAAGTCAATCGTTATGGATAATGGTACAAATCTGGACAGTAAACAAGTAAAGAGCCTATTGGAAGAACATAGAATCAATCAAAAGTTGGCAACAGTTAGCCATCCACAAGCTAACGGGCAAACTGAAATCACAAACAGGATAATCTTTGCTTGTATTAAGAAGAAGCTCGAAGATAAGAAGAGTGAGTGGTTGGATGAACTATCAAACGTCTTGTGGGCTTATCGAACAACCCCTAGATGACAGATCGGTGAGAGCCCATTCGTTATGGTATACGGCACTAAAGCGGTAATACCGATCGAGCATATAGAACCAACTGTTCAGAGTCTGGCATGGGATCAAGAGCGGAACAACAATATGTTGGAATTTAACCTTGATCTATTAGAAGAGAAAAGAGATACAGCAATAGTAAGGCTCATCTCTTAATAGTAGACGCTCATGAATTGCCACAATAAGAAGGTGAGACATAGAGGTTTTGCAGCCTGTGACTTAGTTCTGAAAAGGAAGGTGGGCATGGTAAAGAAGATGATGCCACTTTAGGAAGGACAATATAGAATTACAGAAGTGATAGGAAAGGGGGCATACACTCTAGAACCAATGGCTGGAAGATTGGTTAACAAACTATGGAATACAACGTCCCTAAAAAGGCACGACCTGTAGAATAAGATCGCAAGATTAAATTTCAATTTCCACTTCAATGTTCATTTAGAATTGTGCTTATGCAAATGCTAATGTACTGGTCAAGCAAGATCTATAAAAGAAGTTTTTCTTGTTGAAAAAACTATTGAGCAAAAAATCTCAATCAAGTAAGTGGCAAATGGCACTATGAGCCGAATGCCAAACACTTTTACAAATAAAAGTCAGTGGCAAGTGGCATTCTAGTCGAGCGCTAAGCACTTAATCAAGTAAGTGGCAAATGGCACTATGAGCCAAACACCAAACACTTGCATAAATAAAAGTCAGTGGCAAGTAGCATTCTAGCTGAGCGTCAAGCACTTAATCAAGTAAGTGGCAAATGGTACTATGAGCTGAACGCCAAACACTTGCGTGAATAAAAGTCAGTGGCAAGTGGCATTCTAGCCGAGTGCCAAGCACTTAATCAAGTAAGTGGCAAATGACACTATGAGCCGAACACCAAACACTTGCACAAATAAAAGTCATTGGCAAGTGGCATTCTAGCCGAGCGCCAAGCACTTAATCAAGTAAGTGGCAAATAGCAATATGAGCCGAATGCCAAACACTTGCATAAAGTAAGTGGCAAGTGGCACGATGAGCAAAACGCCAAAACATATGCACAAAACAAAAAGTGAGTCGAACGCTAAACACTTGTGCAAATGTGGTAAGTAAAATGGATATAAAGCAAATGACAAACACTTAGTGAATTTGTAAAAATATAATTTCATTCCATTCAAAAGGTACAAGGCATTTTTAGCTTTACAAAATCATAGACATAATGAAATAAAGAAAAAGATGAAAAACTGCAAGATTTTATTCAGTCCTTTATTCCCCCTTACTGATCCGGTATTCTCCTGGTCATCATTCACTGTCTCATCATCATGAGATAGAGAATCAACCTGAATAATCTCCTCGGTTAGATGAACATGATTGTCGACAATGATAGCAGGAGGAATGACTAAAGTAACAGGAGAAGTGTTCATACGTTGAGTGACAGGAATGACAGGAATGACCCAGAAGCTACAATGTCTTTGCATTCCTAGAAGACAAGCTCAACAGGATCAATAATCGAATTAGTATAATTATTCGGATGATCAATCTTCAAGACTTGGTCAACCTCGTCTGGGTAGTATAGGAGCTCATTTGGCCCTCAAGAGGGAATCGGTTTGTAAAACCATCCCTGTACGCTTCAGTATACCTAAGAGCTCCGGCTTTGGAAAATCAAGCATGTAGAGCCTTCATCCCACCATCAACTCGGCTTATCACACCTAGCAGAACCACGTGCTCAACTGAAGACTTTTTCTCAAGAGCTAAATGGTTGACTCGTTCAATGTCCAGGGAGCATTAAAGTTTTTCCCTCTCGGCCCTCAAAGCATATTTTTTTGTCTACATAACATTTTTTTCAGTTTGCAGAGCATCTTTCTTATCATAAAGAGAGTCTCTCTCTTTTTCAGTGGCGTTCAACTGAACCATCAACTCTGCATTTTTGGTGCTTCATCTCCTTAGTTACATCATTAAGTCCAATAAAGAGTTCACGCACTTTCCTATTGGCCATTTCAAGATGTCTCTGCATGGTAGCCATCCCGAACAGGGTCTGTAGACAGATACAAGAAATCTATTATGTTCAAAGTAAGCCTGACATGGTTAGAAATTTTTTTTGCAAGGATTAGGAAATGATTTACCTTCATGGCAACAA